CGTACACACTTTCATTTTGGAGTTTTGGTGAAGTTATCAGGGTCGGCACTCTAATTTATTTCCTTGTGCTTTATGGAAATTCGACCCAAATTTTGTCGTACCACATCTTACATGCGTTACTTAAAAGACACGTACTCACCAAATTACTTTTACGTATTACTTTTGAATGGTCTCTTCTTTAACAGCTCTCCAGGACACGTTGAATGCATGACATCCAAGTGTTTTCCTCTGAATTATTGTTCTGTTTTTCTCTCATACATCTTACTGGTATTTTGGAGCAGATATGCAAACGTGAGCACCAATGTCCTCGTTGGTAATACATGTTTTGCGGCGAAAATGCTTCCACCCTGTCAAACAGGCAGTGATAATTTTATTAATAACCAACGTTTGCTTGCTATGCTTCAAGTGCCTAAATAGCTGTTGACAGTTGCTTCAGGTGAAGGCCTAAAAAAGCAACAAATTCAGCAAAGCAAATTCATAGTGACCAGTAATTATGGTGTATCTAATAGTTTGGTTTTGCTTTGCTTTTTAAACTGATGTCTGTTGTGTCGCGGCATCTCCCAAGTTGCTGTCTGAGTTCACAGACCTTCATCTAACCCTCAGACAGACGAGGGGTGTACGAAGTGATTGCGACCGCACTGGTGTTTTTCATTACCGCCAACAAATATTGATGAGTGCTGCTGAGTCATGTGACCCGAGGATGGATGTTGATTGTACCCTTAGCCATAGAAGAGAAAACACGATTTTTTTGTTTCAGACTTTGAGGAAGGTTTCTAAGACGACAGTTTCCTGACCTATATCAAGTGATTCATTACTTTTACATGAATTATTACCTTGACCCTCAAAAATATTTAGTCACTCATTAATCATTGCCCAGTTTCCTCTTCAAGAAATTGCTCTGCTAGAAATTAATTTCTCAACTGTGGATTCTGTCAAGAGAAGGCAAGAAATTGCTCTGCTAGAAATTAATTCTTTCAAGAGAAGACGTCGAGATGTATCAGTCACCATTTCTCTCACTGATAATCATCCCGTTTTTGTTTTTTTAAAGGTTGTCTATACACATAGAAGAGACTCTCTCTTTTTTAATATTGTTCCAATCTTTTCGTTTTCATCTTTTCCCCCAATTACAGTGTAGCAGGCACACAGCATCCACTGCACACTGAACAGGCAGTTGTTGATTAGTGTTACACTAACAGTGAATCAGCCAGTGCACACAGCTGTGGAGGGTGAGGTTGAAAGACAGAAGCAGGGGAGCGGTGAGACAGAATGACAGGATGGTACGATTGTTTGTGAGATCAGACATCAAGCCTGATAACACAATAACCAAAACATTCAAACGGAATTTACCTGATAAGTGGTTTGGGGCAAAGCCCCTATTTCCAGTGCACCACTGTGCCTTTGCCCAGAAATTATTTCAATTCCAAAACCATCAACCTGCAGTTACTACTCCATAACTTATTAATACATGTTTCTGCAGCCGTTTATTATTTAGTTTACTTTAAATAATTATCAGGTAAAAAAAAAACAAAACTTGCATTGAAATCAAGCTTTCAAAGTTTTGAAATAAATGGCAAAAATTTCAGACAACAAACGCAGATGTCTCAGTCCAAAAATAGAGTTGAGGAGGTTGTCCTTGAACACATGCTCCTAGATCTGTCATTATCATGATGCATTGTTGCAGTTGTCATTTATGGTCTGTTTATTATGAGGCAATTAAACGCTTTTCATCCCCCACGGGTCACACAAAATGACTTGGTGGGCCATATTCGGCCACATAGGCCTTAGGTTTGACACGTGCCATAGAGCGTGTCATAACAATAGAGCAGCAAAACTCTCTAGAACAAATGTTGGAGCTGTGGCACCTTGCTTATAGATCACTCTCACCCACCCTGCCAAATCAAATCTAGGTCACCGCAAATCTGCGGCTGACTATAAATCAGTCCTTCCGCACGCTTGTCTCCACAGTATGCGCCCACATTTGTACACTCTCACCTGCATTTTTGCACAGAGACCCTGTTTATATTTCATGTCAGCTCTCTGACTTGGCAAGGGTAAGGATCTACAATTGCATTAAGGAGCAGGATTTATTGCGGGAAGCTGCAGGCCTGATGGCAAACAGGCCACAGTTGCACCTCACAAAACATTTTAATCACGTTACGGGATTGCGGGCGTCATTATTAACCATGGCAATAACGGCTAATAAGACTGAAACCCAGTTTGTTTGTAGGTCATTGGATACTTGAGAGCAGATTTTCTTCCATTGTGCATCAAAGATGAAGCAGCGTGATGTAACCCTGCTCTCTCACTCCCTCTGTGGTCGCTTTGTGGCAGAATAGAGCATAAAACGGGCCAAGCTTTGGTTAAGGATTTCCAGACACTGTAATAGAGCTGGGTACAGCAGAGATTCCGTGGCAGGAGTGAAATAACCGGCTAAAGGAAAAACTTCTAAAAGCTGAGATACATAAGGGATGGGGGCTGAACATTTGCCTGCCAGCCTCTACAGCAGTTTACCAGTGATCTGAGTGGGCTTCACAGCAGTTGTCCGAGGCTAATAAGCTCCATGAGATAGAAATATCACTGACACAGTCAG